TAAAATGATTATTACTCATATATACGAGGTTATGAATTCTGAAATGTTTCTATATCTGAGTTTATGATTCAGAGATATTTGAATATATAATATTTGGGGAGAGGCGCATGTGCAGATTTTTCTTCATTAATTACATATATGAACCTATAACACTTGAACTTCAATTGCACATGTGCAGAAATTTTTAGAATTTTGATGCATTTGCGTAAGTCATGAAATGGATAAGTACCTGTTATTTTGGAGCATGCCTAAGTGTATAAATGTGTGGGAAAGCTCTTGTATGATGCGCATAGCATCTTCTTTCAGGTGCCTTATATTTCCTTTTCTTTTTTAACTATCTGTTTTGTTTTTCTAAAGGGAAGCAAGGAATGATGTATTTACATGCATACCACAGAATTCCTATGTCTCTACATGACCTACACCCACACTTGAGATTACATACAGGCCACCCAATTCTGATGTCGTTACGTGCCTAATTTTGAAATTTTGTTGAATTCTGAGATACCACACTTGAAATTACATACAGACCACCAAATTCTGAAGTAGTTACGTGCTTAATTCTTAAATTTTGTTGAATTCTGAGATATGCAGTGTGAGGTTGGTGAGGAAGTTATGATGGAGGAGAAAGAATATGTTCAATGCATTTTAATGGTTCAATTGGGAGATTGGTTGTAGTTTTGATGCACAAGATCTAATATCTTTGCTAGTTGCTAATGCTCCTTTTTTATCATTTCATGCATAGGTTTATAACACTCTGGTGTTATAAATGTTAATATCAAGCTTTAGACGTTAGATATGTAAATCCATAAAATTGTGTGATGTGTATGTTAATTTCCCAATAATTTATGATGCAGCTGGTTTGGCATAGCAAGATCAACAACCTGTAGGCTATTTTTTTAAAGATATATGCACTTTAATTATCAACGCAAAGTGTGGCTGCGGTATCTGCCCTGTTTTCTCCTCTATTTTACATATCAAATCAAGTTAGTTAAAGAGCTTAACTTCAGATCTTAACGTTATCTTAAAAGATTATCACTTATGATTGATCTTGAGCTTACCTTTCGAATAGACCAATCTTCAAGTTAATAGTTTGGAAGATTTACATAAATATCACTCAATCCCGTTTGTATTTACATATCTTCAAGTTCAGACTTCAATTTTTATGTGCATGCCCTCCTAACTATGCATGGGAATGACAAACGTTTATTTCTTGTGGATTTGAGGGTAATCTATGCTTCGAGCTTTTAATGAAAATTCTATTGTTGGCCTTGATGCTTCGAGCTTTTAATGAAAATCCTACTGTTGGCCTTGCTGCAGAAATCAATTTTTCTTCCTCTGCGACCATCCCCTGCGCCATCCCTATCGGCGCTGATGTCTCCGATTTTGTCGTTGTTCGCTCAGTGTTCGATCTCACTAAAAAAACCTTCAAATCCTCCCACAAATTGTCGTGCACTCCGCTGGTATCCTCGATCCCAACTACCACTCCATCTCCTCCACCCCTCTCGCTATATTCGACTCAATCATGTCAGTCAATGCATGGGCGCCTTCTTCGTGCTTCAAGAAGCCGCAAATCAAGTGGTATGGGGTGGCGTGGAAGGATCATTGCGCTCTCGTCGTCGCTGGTGGTGGCAAATCGGCCTGGGTATGGGGTTTACACTGTTTCAAAACGACAGTAGAGGCGATAGTTAGGACTCTAGCGAAGGAAGTTAACGTAAAACGAAACACAATCAACTGTGCTGCATCGGAAAATAATTTTATGGGGAGGCTTGGTGTGCCGGAAGATATTGAGCCGGTCATAGGTTTTCTTTGTTCTGATGCGGGGGAGTT